GGAGTGTCCTCTCCCTTCGCTCCGTCCGGTCCGAGAAAGAGAGTTTGAGAGAGAGAGAGAGAGAGAGAGAGAGAGAGAGAGAGAGAGAGAGAGAGAGAGAGAGAGAGAGAGAGAGAGAGAGAGAGACGGAGAAGACAGACAGACAGACAGCTGGACTCCCTGGTGACAGTCCCCCACCATCCACATTTGACCAAAAATAAGTTATTTATAGGGGCACCAGCCAACCATGTCCAGGTGCTGTTTTAGCCTTGTTATCTATCCTTGAGCATCGCAAATCTCTGGTCTCATTATTTAAATCCCAATCACTCCCTCTTTTTCAAACTTCCCTTAAATACATCAACAATTTATGAGAAGATTGTTTTACTTGGGAATGAGAAGGGAATTGACGTAGATCATCGGGAATGGGGGTTAACGAATGCAGCTATTGCAATCGCAAAAATTAACTGTGTCTAAATATAAGTATGGAAAAGTAAGACATACCATAGATATTTATGAGAGTGAAAGTAGTCTCAGACAATTGTGGGCTAAGAGCTAAAGGAAAGGTTTCCAGTCTCCATTAAATGCCACTTTTGTTTCGTTCCCGTGTTTTGAAAATATGATAGCATAGACGTAGGGAAACAAACACACTAAAAAATATGTCATCACTTAGAAGTGGCCCCCATGTGATTTTTCGGCATACTTTTATTAAATGCCAGGGATGAAGATGACGAATTAGTTCCAAATTTTTGGTCACTCTATGCGAGGAGTTGGGAATTAGGGTTGTTTCTGGCAACCCTCCATCCCCCAGGACAGCCTGGTGGGGATCTAGAGTAAGCACCAAAAAAAATAAAAAATTGAAACACACGTAACACTCTGACTAATATGCACATTATTTCCAACATTAGAGCATCATCGTCGTCACCATAAATAATCATCATCATGATCACATTCATCATCATCATCATCATCATCATCATCATCTTCCCCTAAACGATTCCCCTTATTCTTGTTTCGGTTTTTTTTTCTTCTAGAAAACATACCAATTTGCCCAATATCTATACAATTTACGTAACCTACAAATATCGGCACCAAAATCAGGACACGGGACCAAAAAAAAAAAGAGAAAAACAAAAAACAAACCATTCCCTTCTGGCTGTGGTCCAAACTGGGCTGATATCAAACTTAGCACTACTGTAAGGCGAATGCAAAAGCGTTTTTGCTTTCTTTTGAAAAATAGGGATGGTTGGTGTAAGAAGGTTTTTTGTTGGTTGTTTGGTTGGTTGTTTGGTTGGTTGTTTTTTGCAAGCTTTCTTTTTCTTGCTGATTTTGTGCACGATGACGACCGAGTGTCATGGTAAAACAACCATACGGGTAGCCACCGCTCGGAGAACGAGCTTCGCTTTTGTCACAAGTTCACATCAACGTCCATTGTTACTTTGTTACAGATTAGGTAAACCAAACAGTGGCCAGTCACCTCTCACACGATTAATGCATGAGTTGTGGGTGGGGCTTATACGTTATGACGGATCACACGCTTCCCTCACCAGCTCTTAGTCTTGAAAATTTATTGTTAGGCCTACCTACTGGTCATCTTGGGTAAACAGTCATTGGAGGGACTGACAATAACAACAGGTGAATGAATTATGACGGCCCGTCCACAGCTTGAGGGGCGATTCAAAATTTTTGACAAACGTCGGGCAATGAGTGACCACGCCTGGCCGTCCGAGGCAGGTAAATCTGATACCGTGGGTTGATAAAATAAGGTGGCAGCGGCCGCGTTGGACAGGTGCCCGTTTTACACAGTTAAGTTATATAGAAAAAACCCAATGGGGAAATGGAAAGTGGCCGTTTGTACAGGTGACCGTATTATACAGGTGGCCGTATTATACAGGTGGCCGTCATGGCAGGTTCCACTGTATACGGCTGAGCGCAAGAAAAAGTGACTTTATCCATTTTTCACAGATTTGAGAAAAACGAGTTTGAAATTTTGACGATATTGACTTCTCTAGCTGCAACATTTCTTGATACGGAATTAAGCTACGGCTTAGATTCTTTCAGAGGTAAAGTATCGGCTTAAAATCTCTTTACCCATCATCAGTCAACCAAAAGCGGATATAGTCACTTGCTGTGCTCAGCTATCAACTGTCATGTCTGTCTATTAATGTCCCCGTTTTATTTTATATATTATTATTATTATTATTATTATTATTATTATTATTATTATTATTATTATTATTATTATTATTATTTTTATTATTATTAGTATTATTATTATTATTATTAATATTATTATTATTATTATTATTATTATTATTATTATTATTATTAGTAGTAGTAGTAGTAGTAGTAGTAGTATTATTATTAGTATTAGTATTATTATAGGTTTCATTATTACGATTATTTTTACGATGCTGGACTGAAGAGTAGTTCCTGGTGTTGATAACGTTTTGTTTACGAACATTGTTGAAACGTTCCAGTCAAGATAATGTCAAATGACATCACAGGAGCTAAGCCTGTTGGTAACTTCCACGGACCTTATGATAGGGAAATGCTTAATAGCTATCCATTGTGCCTGCATTGATCAACAAAGTGAACGTTCAGTTAGCAGTCTATTAAAGTTTTATCTCAATCAAGACATTTTTTTTTTCATGGCTATTTTCTGGTTAAATCTGGGGATTTACTTTCACCTACTTTTTCTGTCCTCTTCTTGAACCACGAAAAGTCGAAGGGAGACGTGATTTTAGAACGTGGGTTATGCTTGTGTGTGGCTTTTTGGGTCGTCAAAATCTTATTCTTGTGCCTTTTTAAGGTATCTTTGACACTGCCGACCCAACTGTTCCGTGGTCATCGTTTTGTCTGGAAAATGTCTGGGACAGAACTCGTAATAACATTTCCTTCTCCTGTTATCTTGGATCTTGAACTATCAACTCTTCACTTTTTTCTCGTTCATCCTTTCCCCGTCCGAGAGTATGTTTCACGCGAAAAGGCAGCTATGGCGGCAGGTGGAAGTGTATGCGACACCGAGTGTCGATCGGGAAAATCAAGATCTACTTTCGCTTTCGTCAGCACCCAGAAATTT